AGTTAGCGAAAAGATTTCACACGCTGTACGAAAATACAGATATCCTAAATCTAAAGGATACATATATTTAAAAAACAACAAGAAAAACCCAGGGATTCTGTTCACACAAGATAATTATTAATTAACAATAAAAATAAATAAAGGGCGTAGTCTGAAGTTGCGTTGAAGTTGGGGATGACTTGTCCTGGCTTCACTTGGCACTAAGCTGGGGAGCCTGCAGTTGAAGGACTTGCAGTTCAAGGGGGCTTGAATGAATTCTGAGGATCGTTGGCTATGTGCAGATGGTGTGCAGCGCTCGATTGCACAGTCTCTCCTTCCCCGGCTTGGGTAAATCAGGTGTGGGGAACACAATGCATGCCACTCCGCTCCAAGACACTCCCTGTCCAGCAGTACATACAGCTCAATAGGCTCACTGATGTTACCCGAGTGCTTCAGTACTAGTGGTGTCTTTGCCTAGAGCAGGACAGGGACGAATATGTAATTGTGGCAGGTTCAATGCAAGGAGAGATCACAAAGACAACAGAACAGTCTCTGTGGAGTCCAGTAGCCAAGTGGAGTGAAGTACTATTAAACTAAACGAAGTAAAACAGTTGTATGGACTATCAAAAGTTAAAGTCCCTTTAAAACTCTACACTGTGTGTAAGGTTGTTATGGTTACCAGTGCCGGACAATGCCCTCGTCCACCTGGGTACCTCATTTGTGTGTGTGGGTTGGTCTACACAGAAATGACTAAGGTGCTACAAGGACACTCTACCAAGACCGGTGTCTTAGGAATTACAAGGTTACAACTGTTGCGGTCAAAGTTTGGAAGTCTGAGTCCGAGAAATATGAGTGACTCATAATCAGGAGGTAAAAGTTAATTAAGATTAAACATTAAAATGTCAAAGCTCTGGGCAATCAAATCGATTTAAAGCAAAAGGAATACACATCAAAAGATTAAACACCCGGATGTAAGAACTGAAATAGAATAAAGAAAAACTAACCACTGAATACATGGAACTATGGTAAAAACGAGATAAAGGTGAATCAAGTCAAATGATTGAAACTTATCAAGTAATCAAACACAGACGAATGTTGCAAATTCAAAGACTTAACTTGTACAAGAGGGAAATATCCCTCTCTTCACTTTAGCCAAGGGAATGTAATTATTCAATGTATGCTAGAAGTAATATATCATAAAAACCTAAGTAAAATAATATTATA